TATATATATATATAAATTAATGGCATCCATGCGTATGATACAAGAACTTTAAATTACTGTCAATGTTTATCTAATGCATGCATGCACATTTAGATGCATTACTCATGAATGTAGATTTGCTTAGGACCTGTATGGTTTGCTGTAAAATGGTGCACTACAATCCATTGCAGAAGTTTCAAAAAATTGGGTGTTTGGTTGGATGAATTCCAAATAGTCTAAAACTACAATGCATTTGACATTTATTCTCTAGTTCATTTTTTATGTATTTGAAATTTGCTGGATTTGGGTGAATTTCAAATACATTGCTTTTTGTAAAGTGTTGCACGATGTCGCCAACTCCACCATTCGCTAGACATTGCCATTGCCACTCACCAGCTGCCCACTGCCTCTACCAGTCACCAACCAACCACCGCCTCCGTCGTCGGTCTCCAGTCACGTATTTTACGTTGATTTATTTTCTTCAAGCTAAACAAGAAAACGTGAAGCCCTACATTTATTTTATATTGAGCCAAATAACATCAAAATGTAAACTCTTGTATTAATTTTAGTCTACATTCCTTTCATATTGTATTCCTTTTTGATAAAAACAAATAGGGCACTCCTTTGTTACTTGATTCAGACAAAAATCAAAACATTTGCCAAAAATCTAAATAAGATTAAACATTTTTTGGGCAAGCGAGCCATAATTGCTGTTTTACGTTCAAGGTTTGATAAGTTGCACCATAAGATTTTGGCAAAGAAACTGAATACATGTTACAATACCATTTCTCACATCAAGAAGTATTGGCCTTCTATCATGATTTGAGCCTCTCGCTTTGTTTGGCTTTTCCAACTTATTAGTTGAAGCCTGCAATCTTTCTCTCCATTCCGCTGGAGTCAACAGGGCAGCTCTCATAGTAGGGTCTAGCACAGGGAGGTGAGACATACCTCCTTCAAGCTGGAAAAAGTTTTGCAGCATCTTAATGATTTTAAGTGCATTCCATTGCAAAATACAAAAAAATATATAAGAAAATAATTGGTGATGAGTAGGTCCCTTAACAATTTTTTGAGGCATTTACAGACGTACCATCCAATTCATATGTATTTACATATTTAACACCTAAACTTTGTTTTTTATATTTATGCCACGCAAATCTTTCATACACATCAAAAATACCATATATTAAATTTTAAATATTGAAATACACTTTTTCATGCATGGGTAAGATGGTGTATTTGAAGTTCGTGTTGGACATGTAAATAAATAAAAAATGAGTGGTATGTATGTAAGCTTCCAATTTTTTTATGAGGCAAGGCAATGTAAGCATGATAAATGGAGCAGTTAATAGAAAAAGAAGCTAAAAATATAGACAACATGTGTAGGAAAATAAAATGCAACAATGTGGAAGGTGAAATTTCGAGGCAACTTACACGTAAGTTAGCCAAGAAGACAATCATTTAGCATTTTGTTTCTTTGATAATATTAAAATGAGTAAAATTAAAAGACAATGATTATAAAAAGGATAAATTTACCTAAGGTCCTATGATTGACCGTCGTCTTTTTAATCCATCAGCTCAAAAAAAAAAATCTAAATTGTCACGACCCGACCCAGGGCTTGGAATTAACCAAGGCGGGTACAAACAGTCAGATGGTGTGAATTTTCTATATTCGTCTACAATTCAACAGATGAAAGAGCCGGTACAACTTAAATTAAAGCAGTACAAATAAAATTACAACGTTGATGGTTGTCCACGTCTTCTATAAACGATTTCTCAACTAAAATTACAACGTTGATGGTTGTCCACGTCTTCTAACAACTTAAATGTAACTATCACTCATCTTTTAATAATTTAATTAAACCTGAAAGGTGGTCACGTCTTCTATAAACGATTTCTTAACTATCACTCATCTTTTAATAATTTAATTAAACCTGAAAGGTTAGAAAAAACAACTGTGAGCTAAACGAGCCAATTATACTCATACTTCTAAACTAAAATAATACAAGGAAAATAAAGAATAACATTGCATGTCGGTTAAGTTTCTTTATAAATCAATATAAGTATTTGATATGTTATTCGTAGAGAACTATATCATTATTATATTATTATCATTTCATATCTATACAACCGTCACAGGGAACCGTCTAATAATTTGTGTCAATTAAGACACATAAATATCAATATCATTTTTTTATTTACGTGCACGACTACATTAATGTTCCCATTAGTACCATCAAGGAGTGTTCAATCATAACCAGTCATACACATACAAACAGTCAATGTATATGTTCATCACATTCAATCATACAATATAAAACATACACTAAAATGTACGAGTAAATAGCTATAACGTTCGCAATGATATGACCGATAAAAAAAAAGAATAGCTTAATCAAAATAAAGCATTCACAAATAAAATCAACTACAAACATACATGAGAATAAACAAATTATTACTCTGATCTAAAAGTACAAGTACTCGCTTCGATTGTCAATTAAGTTGTTTTGACGCCGACTTTTCTGAAAATGAAATGCCTAAAATAAGCGTGATAGTCATATTTATTATATTATTATAAATTAAATAAATTATCTCATTTTTATTTTATCAATGAATTATATATATATATATATTATCATTATTTATTATAAAAAAAAGCAAACTAATCTTAACTCTTCACCTCAGCCCAACTACATGCAAGGAATGATCTCCTTCCTCTGCATTCAATCGCTTGCTCTTCTTCCTCTTCGGTTCATGCACGCGAGAACCCTCGACGTCGCATCCTCCTTCTCACGCGACACAGCTTGGTTGTTCTTCCCACCTTTCCTCTTCTTTCTCTACACGCGAGTGGCTAGGGTTTGAGACTTTTACTTTGATCGAACCCACATGCGACTCCGGCTCTCCTGGTAAGTTCTTGCCTGTCATGTCTATATGTAGTGCGAACATGTCTCCTTAGCTTCCGATCTCCTCGCTTCCACTCCCCCCCTTTGGTTTCCGTCTCCTTGTTTCTTATCCCCTTCCATTCATTTGGCTAGATCCCTCCCCATCAGTTCCAAGATTCTTCGTTTCCCCTCCCCCATTAACAGAACTGTTACAGTCTCCCCCACTTACAAAAATTTCATCCTCGAAATGTATACTCAGACCTAAAACCTTAGCTATCAATGAATTAGGGTTCATTCATTAAGATGAAAGTGATCACTATAAAGATAAAGACTCGATACAATGTGACTCAATTATACTTTGGATAACAATACAAAAACAAGAAAGATATACTAGTAAAATCCTCTATATAAGAAAACACCACACTCTTCAGGCCTCATTGTCATCTGCAGCAGTAGGTTCTTCAGGCTCACTATTGATAAGGACATATACTCGAGGTCAAGCAGATTGTCTTGGTTAACCTTGAGTAGGACCTGAAGCTATAGACTATCTTTTTCTGCTCACCATTAGACATATGTGAATAAGCTCCACAAGACTCTTGATCTTCAACGCTTTTCTGGCCAAGAAATGGATAATATTTTGCTATATGACCAGGTCGACGACACCAATAGAAAGTGTTAGAGCCCATCAAATATTCACCTTTATGTTGTTTTTCGCATTTTGCACAAATTTCTCCAGTACTCTGAGTCATTCTTCTGCTAACTCCACTTGAATTATTCTCGGACTTCTTCTTATTGGATCCTTCTAGGTGATCTATATGTTCTTGTGCAATCTTCCGCTTGTGCATTTCCTTACGCTTCTAAGTATGTTGATAGTCGATCTTCATTCTTCTAGCTCGTTCTACTAATACCGAATATTCATCGATTATTAAGGGTACCAACGACTGTCTGATCAAATATTTTAATCTTGAAAGGAATCTGTAGCATTTTTCTTCTGCGGTAGCAATCAATAGTGGTGCCTACTCGATAGTGCAGAGAATTATGCTTCATACTGTATAAGGTATGTCCCCTAACCTGTCCTGTAGCTGCTCACGCCACCTCCTTTCGGCTTCTTCATCTAATATAAAAGTCGCCAACGGTACCTTCTTTCATCTAGACAAGCCATGCTATCTAGTATTTTTTCTATCATCATTAGTCAATTTTTTGCTTCAATCAGATCTTTGATTACCTTAAACAGAGGTGGACATAGATCTTGAAAATCTTCAAGTACTTATCTAAAACAATTGTATCATTAGGCTGCAATTTGAACTCATGCATCAGTTGAATCATCGCCGTCCTCATTTGGGTTAGGATCAAAATCCTCCAAACTTATCATCGTATTGGGTATGTCCCCTAACCTGTCCTGAAGCTGCTCACGCCACCACCTTTCGGCTTCTTCATCTAATATAAAAGTCGCCAACGGTACCTTCTTTCATCTAGACAAGCCATGCTATCTAGTATTTTTTCTATCATCATTAGTCAATTTTTTGCTTCAATCAGATCTTTGATTACCTTAAACAGAGGTGGACATAGATCTTGAAAATCTTCAAGTACTTATCTACAACAATTGTATCATTAGGCTGCAATCTGAACTCATGCATCAGTTGAGTCATCGCCGTCCTCATTTGGGTTAGGACTTTCGTGTTCACATTTATGATAAGTTGTACTCCTTCGTTTTCTATCGGTTTTTCTTCTTCTATAATTTTGGGTGTATCACTATGCCTAAATGTATAAATTATTTCTTTAAATTAGTTTCAATTATTAAAATTTTCTCATAATTTTTCTATTGGCTCTTTAATCAAAATTCAATTAGTCTTAAACATTGACTTTGATATTACTTTTGTCATGACTGACTCGGGGCTTGGAATTAACCAATGCGAGTACAGACAATTGGACAATGTGAATTTTTTATATTCATTTACAATTTGATAGATGAAAGAAGCACTACAATTTAAATTTAAACGCTACAAATAAAATTAGATCATTGATGGTTGTCCATGTCTTCTATGAACATTTTACCGTCTATAGCTCATCTTTTAATAATTTAATTAAACCTGAAAAATCAGTTAAAACAACTGTGACCTAAACGATTCAGTGAATGCTCACACTTCTAAAAAAAAGTAATACAAGAAAAAGAAAGAATAATATGCATGTTAATTAAACTTATTTATAAATCAATATAAACATTTAATATGTTATTCGTAAGGAACTATATCATTATCATATCAATATCATTTCATATTTATACAACCATCATAGGAGAGATCATATAAAATTTGTGTCAATTAATAAACATCAATATCAATGTCATTTTTCATTTAAGTACAAGAATATATTAGTGTTTCTCTATTAGTATCATTATAGAGTGCTCCATTATAACCAGTCATGCACATATAAGCAGTCAATATATATGTTCATCACATTAAATCATACTATATAAAATATACACCAAAATATATGGGTAAATAACTACAACATTCACAACGATATGACCAATAAAGAAAAGAATAGTCAATCAAAATAAAGCATCTACAAATATCATCAACTGAAAACATACTTGAGAAAAAATAAATTATGGCTCATCAACTGAGAGGAATGACAGCCAAGAAAGTAAATGCTTTGGAGAAGAAACTGGAGAAATAGATGAGCCAAATCAAAAATGGGATCGAGGAAATGTTCTCAACCATAGAAGGAAGTTTTTTTTTTTTCCATGGAAAACCAACTTGAGGGGGCTGATTTGAAAGCTTGTAGGGGATGATGAGAAAGTTTATTAAGATGTAATCTACAATCTCATCAGAATCCTTTGCTAAATTGAAATGGAAAGAGATCAAACAAGAGAAACAAGAGAAGGACAACATTCACCATCAAAAACCCCTTCCTAGGACTCCGATGAGGGGTGGATTAGAGATTTTCGATAGAAGAGGTTGAGCCGAAACATGAAAGAGTAATGCAAGGGTATGAATGAGGTCAGTTTGATTTCATATTTTTCTAAAATTATATATATATACGTAAATTAAAAAGTCCTTCCGAAGCGGGCGACGGGATTTCGATTCCGGCGACCGACAGCTTCTTACGGGCGACCCCCAAACATTTAAACTCTCTCTTTTTCCTCTTTTAAGCGCCGACAACAGGATGGAGAGATATTTCACAGTGAATAAGCAAAACGGGGATGAGAAGATCATGACGATTGGTTTATGTTCAGAGGAGAAAATCCTAGTATGGTTTCAGTGCAGGGAGGCTAGGTGCCCGATTCGCTCATGGGAGAGATTTAAGGATTGCTTGTTGAAACATTTTTGAGTCATTCGGGAAGCAGACCTACCAGGGCAATTCTTTGTCTTGATTCAGGAGGGGACCCTCATGGAGTATAGGAAGAAATCCAAAATGCTATCTAGCCGTTTGAGAGAGACATCGAAAGAAATGTTGGAAGGAAACTCATGAAAGAATTGAAGCCAGACATTAGAGCATTCTTTTTTCTACAAAGACGGTGAGGATTAGAGGAAACCTTGAAATTAGAGAAGTTGGTTTTAGATAAAAATGTAATTGAAAGGGTTAGTAGGAGCAGCACAGGCGGAGTATCATACCAAACAGCTACAACCACGATAATACTAAAAGCTCAAGCAGTAGAAGTTCTGAGGGAGCCTCCACACGACACAAATAACGAGTCATGACCGAGAACGACATTCAAACGCCTTACACATAGAAATTCGGGAGAAGTGAACAAATAGATTATATTTTCGGTGTGATTAAAATTTTGCCCTATGACACCATTGCAAGAATCGAACATTACATGTTCTTACAGTGTATGACGAGAAGGCATGGGAGCTTGATCTAGCGGCTATTTTTTATCCACTTTAAGGACAAAGTGCTTCTTCAGGAGGGAAAAATTGTTAGGTCGGTGTCTAAGGACAATTCTTTCTCTACTAGCTTAAGGGCAATCTAGTCTCTTATTATTACTATTGTTGGGTATAAATAAGTTTAATATGTTTAGAGTTGGGATTATGCATAAGATTGGGTCTTGCATTTTAGGATAAGAATTTTGGAGAAATTTTCTACCTCTCCAATTGTAAAATTTGGGAGAAATCGCCCACTTCTCGAATTGTAGGTGTTTATATTTTATATCTTGTGTTGTTTGTTTTACTGAGGAAAGAAAATTATTTTGCCCTAATTTCTATGTGAAAAACTATATCCTTTCCTATCAAATTGTTGTTGATTTTTTTTATTCAACAACCAATGCCAATGTTAACTAGATTAAATATGTTCTTATCAACATCTAAAACAATAGTAACTAGATTCATGGTTCAAACTATAAAGGAATTTTTTTAAGATAATTTATAAAAAAAATTAGAGGTCAACCATATGGCCACAGAGCAATCATCCATAAGCAATCCATAACGGTGCAGTTCAAGCTAATTCATATATTATACACTGGTAATATGATGTTATGAAATTGCAAGAAAGGTAACGAAGAAAAAACCAGAAAAATATAGCTTGCCTGTACAAGAGAAGGTTTATACCGCAATTTCAATCTTGGAAAAGCATGACCATCTAAAGCTGGTGAAGTTTGAACCAGAATATCAGAAAATCTAAGATCTTCTTTAAGCCAATCTGCATAAGCTAGAGCATCGTCAACCGGACCACTGTACTGCATACATAATTTTCATTTATTTTTACAACAACAATAAGAGCTGAATTATGAAATGCTAAGAAAAAGGAAAATTTACATCTATACCACCACAATTCTTATGTATGTACATATCTAACACCCAGAGTTTCATATTTACATTTATAACACCTTGGTATCATAAACCTATGCATTAAAGGTGTATTCAAAAATGCATTGATAATGATTTTTTTTATGTGGTGTTATAAGATTTGAGTTTTTTTGCATGTGAATATGAATGTTCATGTGTTAGATATGTAAATACATAAGAATTGTGTGGTATGCATGTAAACGCCCCTAAGAAAAATACAAAATTAGATGGGCTATAACGGCCAGAGATGCGTTTTAAAAAAAATGTGTTTTCAGCTATCAAATTCAAATCATTACCAAAATGACTGAAATTGAAAGTGAGTTACCTTGCATACTAACAATTTTTTATACATAACAACATATGGCCTGTTAGGTTCAATGACATCTATCAAATGCAGTTTATTTAGTTTAATATTAACTTTCATAAACCTAGAAATAAATGATGGCCTGTTTAGGTGTTAGACTTATCTCTTTATGTTTTATTTATCTAAATTTTTAAGTATTGTAACAACAGGATGACATCGTATTTGACCGATACGTAAATGTTAGTAAAATAGGCCATAAATATCATTTATACAATTACTATCTAAAAAAAGCCGATGAATCAAATAGCCAACATTTTTTAAAGATAAATTGAAAGTTGAAAGTGGAAGTTGTGAATGTCGACATATTTAAAAACAAATTTTCACACAACCCAACATAAGGGATGTTTGTTCAATGTTGTCATTGTTGTCTACCAAATGCAGTGCGTTCGGTTCAATGCTATTTTTCTTAGATAAAATAATATTCTCTAGCAATATCAATGGTGATTATAATACCATTTTTTTGTTGTATTATATTTTAGCAGTCATATAACCTAACAACCATATGTCATTAATTTCGGTTGATATCAAAAAGTTAATAAAATAGGACATAAATGTCATTTTTAAAATTGCTAATTAAAAATGTTGAGCATGCAATAATGTTCAGTTCCAATATTCCCTCCCCCACAAGCACAAATGCACAAATAACAAAGATAAGAACAATAACAAAAACAGTAATTAATTGAGCAAAAGAACAATTTTGCAGTCACGGAACGATATATTTGGTTTTTAGGTGTAAAAAATGACTGCTAAATGAAAAGCATCAACGAACTTTGGAACGCCTAATTTAGTAACCACTTAGTTTATTGAAAATGTCCAATACGTTTATGACTGAAATAAAAAATACAAAGAAGATAGTAATACAAAAAGGCATTTACATACATACCACCCAATTCTTATGTTTTTACATACCTAACAACTAAACTTTAATTTTTACCTTTTTACCACCCAAATCTTTTATATCACATCAATAAAACCACTATTTTTACTATTAAAAAATGAAATGCACCTTTTCATGCATAGGTAAGGTGGCATATATATAAAAAATGAAGTTTATGTGCTCGATGTATAAATAAATAAGAATTGAGTGGGATGTATGTAAATCATCCTAATAAAAAATAATAATAATAAAAGCAAGCCTTGCATGTTATATACCTGTGCATTGATGCCTTGCTCATTCACATATATTCGACCATTTATGTCATGCCCCTATCAAATATAGAAAAAAGGTAATGTGTATGGTAAGCTTAACTTAATTACACAAGACAATTAATTAGCATAGAGAAAAACATTGAGGTTGAAAAACACAAGTTTATGGTTTTCACAGAGAAGATGATTAAAACTCCTTTTGACGCATGTGTTTGTGCCTTCGCACCTGGCGCACTTGGCCTAGTTTGGTCCAGGCTTCTGAGGGGTCGTCCAACCCTCCAAGGCTTGGATTTGCCACCCAATTGGAGTGGGTCCCACTCCTAGTTATCCCAAAACTATATATTTTCTTTTGTGATGTTTAGGGTTTAGTTTTTGTTGTGTTTTTCTTTCGTGGCAGCTATCGACATCTTTTTTCACTTTACGGGATATATCCTAAGATTCTAAGTGCTTCGACTGTATTTTAATCTCCATGTGGTGTTTATTTTTTCCATACCTTCCCCCCTCGTTTCCCGTGTTCATCCTAATAAAAAATAATAATAATAAAAGCAAGCCTTGCATGTTATATACCTGTGCATTGATGCCTTGCTCATTCACATATATTCGACCATTTATGTCATGCCCCTATCAAATATAGAAAAAAGGTAATGTGTATGGTAAGCTTAACTTAATTACACAAGACAATTAATTAGCATAGAGAAAAACATTGAGGTTGAAAAACACAAGTTTATGGTTTTCACAGAGAAGATGATTAAAACTCCTTTTGACGCATGTGTTTGTGCCTTCGCACCTGGCGCACTTGGCCTAGTTTGGTCCAGGCTTCTGAGGGGTCGTCCAACCCTCCAAGGCTTGGATTTGCCACCCAATTGGAGTGGGTCCCACTCCTAGTTATCCCAGAACTATATATTTGCTTTTGTGATGTTTAGGGTTTAGTTTTTGTTGTGTTTTTCTTTCGTGGCAGCTATCGACATCTTTTTTCACTTTACGGGATATATCCTAAGATTCTAAGTGCTTCGACTGTATTTTAATCTCCATTCCCCCTCGTTTCGCGGGACGTCCTCCTTCACCCTCACTGCTCCCCCGCTGCTATCATTGCCAAGAAAACAACAGACCTGTTGTTTTTCCCATCCAACCTTGCGGGTGCCACTCAAGACACACCCCCACGGTTATCCTTGTTGTGCACTGCTGCCGCCGCCTTCCCCCTTGTTGTCGCCACCCTCCAACGTGCTAGCCAGCCCTCTTGTCACCTCTTTGGAGGTCCAAATCCCTAGCCGACACCACCTCTACCCTATATCCCACCCAAGTTTTAGTATTGTGTGTTGTTTTGTTGCAATTTCAGACTTCCACGTTAGTTTGATAAAATTTCATATTTGAATTCAATAATTGTATATGTTTTCCTTGAATGCTCGTTAAGTTTCGAACTAATTTAGTATCAAAACTAGCCCAATCATAGTTCCATCCTAGGATTACCAAAAATCCACCAATGCCTAACCCAAAATCCACCTAAAACTATTCCTTATTGTTGAATTTTCAAAATAGCCACCCAAAAAAAAAAAATCCCCCGCCCAAAATCAGCCCCATACACCTGTTTTCACACCCAAATCTAAACCGTAGTCATGCCACCGAAGAGAAAAGTGTCGGAAGCTGATCAGGAACTTGCCATAGTAAAGATGCAATGGGAAATCCGCCAATTTCAGCCAAGACTTGTTGAAATTGAGAAAGTGACCCATAGAGAGATTACCATCGATCATGATAGCAAGTTTCAAAGAGGAGAGAGGGCGGACAATCTCCCTTCCACAGAGATGATTCCATTAAGGAGGAGGATAGACCATAGCATTTCGGGATTCAATATCAGAAAAGGCCGAGGGAAGGAGCATCTTTTGGAATACATTGAGAAATAGGAATAAAGGTAAACTTACCATATTTTGAGGGGAGAATGCATTCGAATAACTTCATTGAGTGGTTAGTATAAGGAGGTGTCAACTGTCAACTGTCAACTGATAGAAGAGTCAACTTGCTACCATAAAGCTAAAGAAGAGTCTCCTTGTGGTGGGCCTGCACTACCTAGGGTAGTGAGAATGAGAAAAGGTGGGAACATGATTACTACCTAGGATAAGAAGAAAAAAGAAATGCAAAGAAAATATCTAACCTGCACTACCGTCAGGACATATTCTTGAGGCTACACCATTTACATTAGGAATTAGCAGTAGAGGAGTTCACAGTGGAGTTTGAGCAGCTCATACTGAAATGTGAGGTGAGGAAGCAGAATGAGAACACTATAGTCAGGTATTTTGGAGGTCTCAAGTCAGCCATGTCATTTAACATAGCCTTATTGGTCATTGAGTGATGTTTAGACATTAGTCCTTAAAGTGGAGAAATAGCATAAGCAGATCATGAACCCATCTTCATTTAAACAATCCTCCACAGTAAGAGAAGCCAGTAGGAGTACAAACAAAAAGGTGTGAAAACTGTCCAACAAGATGATAGAGTTGATCATAAAAGGAAGAAGCCTGAGAGGAGTAGTACACCCACAATGCCCGCCAAGAAATGTTTCAGATGTCATGGGTTTGGACCCATCACCTTCAGTTGCCCTATCACTAAAGTTCTCTCTTTCACTGAGCAGGGAGCGGTAGAAGAAATGGAACGTGGTACTTGAGACATAGAAGATAGTGAGGAGGTACAAGAGCAACAACTTCCAAGTGATGAAGGCGAGTTGCTCGTGGTTCGAAGGCTCCTTCAGACTTAGGCTATGAGAGAGTAGCAGTGACTTCGCCACAATTTTTTATGCCCATTGCACTGTGAAAAGATATGTGTGGTATTAACATCGAAGGAGGTAGTTGTGAGAATGTGGTGTCCACACATACGGTGGACAAGTTGAGTCTCACTATGTAGAGGCATTCTCAGTCATATTCCCCGACTTGGTTGAAGAAGAAGAACAACAATGTTAGCATTGACAGAAAATGTCCAGTCCAATTTTCTATTAGAGATCAACTATCACCAAGTGTGGTGAGATGTTGTACACACTGACGTATGCCACATTTTGGGAGACTATGACAATTTAATCACAAGACTCAACATGATGGGTTCAAGAACATTTATTCATCAAGAATTAAAAAATTCTTAGTTCTATTTTTTTTGTGAAGTCCGAGGTTAGGTGTTTTTGCCACGTGATCGATTTTGGTGATTTTAGAGAATAGTGAGGCAGAATAGTTGACACAGAGAGAGGGCGGCAACTACAGAAAGAGTTTCACGATATCCTGATCGATGGCTTACCGTTAGAGCTGCCATCATTAAGGGAGGTTTAACATGTCTTCACTTCAATGAGTAATGAGTCAACCTTGTGCTATTTTCAGAGGACTTTGCAGAGTACACTTAGCATGAAGTTTCAGTTCAGTTCAATAATATACCCACATATGGTTGGATAGATAGACATAATAACTCGCAATTCGTAAAACCTTCTCAGGTGTTTTGTGGGATAGTGCATCCGACAATAAGATCCATGTGCTTCTAGAGATGCAGTTGAAGGCCCTCCAATACAAGGATATTACAACGTTTCTACTACTTTCAACGTGAACTTAACTCCAAACTGAGGAGACAGAAACTTCGACTAATAAGGTCGAAACTCCCCCAATTCTAGAGACTAACACGAGGCATATGGGCCTAAGACACCTGAACCAGGTGTCTGCACCTGGTGCGCATAGACGGGTTTGTTTTAGGCTTTTGAGGGGTAGACAGACCCTTCAAGCATGGAATTGCCGCCCAATTGGGGTGGTGCCCACTCACAGTTATTCTATGGTTCTATTTGCTTTTGTGATGTTTAGAGTTTAATTTTTGCTGTGTTTTTTTGGGACAGCCGTCAGCCTCTCTTTTCGCTCTACAGGTTATATTATAAAGTTTCAAGTGATGTTCCGTTTGTATCTTGATCTCCAACTAGATTTTATCCTACATATACCCTTCGCCTTCCTTTCCTGCATCGACCCCCTTCACCCTTGTCACTCCTCCATGGTTGTCACCGCCTAGAAAACAACAGACCTGCTATTTTTCCCATCCAAACAAGTCGTCGCCACTCAAGACAACACCCCCATTGTTGTCCTTGTTGGTCACCCCTTCCCCCTACTGCCACCACCCTCCAGCGTGCTAGCCGACCCACTTGTCACTTCCCTGGAGGTCTTAATCCCTATGCAATCGCCACCCTAGATTCAGCCCAAGTTCTAGTGTTGTGTGTTATTTTATTGCAATTTCAAATTTCCACGTTGTTTTGTTGTAATTTTTTATTTGAATTCAATAATAATAATTGTTTTCCATTGGATGTTGTTAAATTTTGGTATCAACTTTAATAGCATATGATGGATGCTTTTCAATAAAAAAGTTGGACTATCTTGCTATAGATACATTGAGATTGAAAAGTTTTTCATGTTGCCAAGCAACTTTTTGTTCAATTTACTTCATTACTTTCCCTTTTTTAATCTCTGGCATAGCTGTAAATTTTCAATGTTTATTGTTAATTTATTAGAATAAATGAAGGAGAAGATTTAGGATGTAAGATAGAATTTTGTTCGAACTTCAAATTCAATTTTAAATTTGAATAAAGCTAATTATTTGGATATAAGTTGGTTTTGTGGTAAATTCTTTGAAGAGAGTGAAAATAAAAGGTGGTTAAGACAAAATTGAAATCCACAGGATATAGAGTACGGTCTTCAACATAAACAAAAAGAAATTAACAATGGTGGAGAAATGACTCAATATCTTAAATAATAATTTATTTCAAACTAGCAATCTTGCATAAGAATAAACAAGAAAAAAAAACACTTTGACATTAATTGGATATATGATGACATTGAAAACAACTATAAGGCATATAAAAGAATACGAAAATGATCAAAAGAGTAAGTAATAAGATGATAAATCATCACTCATCATGAAGATGAACATCTCCCATAATGGATTTAGGTTGCAAATTTTATGGTTAAAATTTTGAGAATATATGAAAAAAAATCTCAACATCCAAAATAAGAATTTTTGTGTCATGAACAATCTCATATGGCTCAGAATTCTAATGTTTTATATCTGAAATAAAAAAATACAAATAGCTTGAAGACAAATAATCAATGGACTACTAGTAAATTGATAACAAACAATAATGGATTTCACTGTAACACACCTAATAAAATAATTAAAAAGAAAATAAATCAAAGATTCATAACAAAAAAATAGCTAATAATTTTTGTCCACAACACCCATTGCCATTTATTATTTCCACCATATAAGAGCACATTCTCCTTAATAGGAACAACCAAAGTGGTACCACTTACTCCAAATGGTCATTACTACAATGGTTTTTATTTCCGTCTAAAAACTAGCAGCATAGATCAGATTAACAACAATGCTTCTTCATGCTTAAAAAATATTATAAGTGTGTGTTGGAGGAGGGAAGGTTGTATTATTTAGTAAAGATATGAAAACTCAAAACTCGCTCAGATTTTGACAACTCAATTTCAAGCTCCATCTCTAAGTTGAAATTAATTTAACGTTTGGCCTAGTTCAATCGAATGTGGATCAACTCAAATAAAAATAGAACTCAAAAGAATTATTTAAATGGAATATATAACATGTATTATATAATATTATGTATAATTCACAATATAAAATTCATATTTAATATGCAATTAATTATTAAATAATTTATAGTTAACTCTAAATTAATTTTGCATCAACTCAAGATGAATCTTTTTGAGCTGAATTGGCTTGATTCGACATGATATCAACCTTATATAGGGAGAAACATTAAGCAAGAATATTAATCAACCCTTAAGCAACTTGTAAAGCCACATGTAATCATGAAAGGAAAAATTACATGCCCATTACATATGATAAAAGTTGTATCTAATGTACCATTGAATCGAGGTTGACTTGGGAGTATCTCCAAGACCTTTTCCACTCAAGAAGAACCCATCAAAACAATGATTTCTTTTACTGGACACAATTTTTTATACATGAGCTGTTGATACTAAAGGTTTTACAAAAAGAAACCTACCCAAACAAAACCCATATTCGATCCCATAAAAAACAAATGTGTGGCAACAGTATTGCTAGAATCCCAAGTCCACATCTATGTCAAAATTGTACATTCCTAAAAATTAAGGTTACTCTCTAAAATTTAGGAAAAGTTATTGGTTTTCTTTGTTATGGAATTTTTCCCTTGAATTGTGGAAACCCAATTCATAACTTTGTCAGTGTCTTGATTTTAGGAATAAAAGCTATTTCCATGTGTTATTATACATCTATGATAAAGTTTGATTAAAATTTAGCTATCCTTATCCTTCTATAAATAGGGAATTAGGATCTTATTTTGTGGACAATTAGTTATGGGAATGGAATCAAATTTGCCATTCTAGTTCCTCAATAATGAAAAAAAATAAAAACTTCCAACCATCCTTCTCTTCTCCCTCTATTTTAACATCCAGCACCTGCAGGATTCATTTCTCCTACAGAAGCAGAAGTTAAACTCTAGCCTTAAGCCTCTAGGTTTTTATTTAAACACTAGTCCTACAGTCACTATAACGCTAGGCCAACCTTTATCTTCTATTTTCTAAGTTGGATCTCCCTTTTCAAAGCTCGAAATCTTTCCCAAATTTCAAAAGAAGAGAAATATACAAGAAATTAAAGCTCCTCACCTCATCAAATTGAAGAAAAAGAAGAGTAAATCACCTGAAGGAATTCTTGATGCTTGGCAACCTCTCCCTCGGGATCTTCAATTAAAACGAACTTATAGAAGGTTACCACACAAAACTCTGCATCTCCGTTACCTCCGCCTTCTCCTTTACGAAATGAAGAAGAAGAGGAGTCAAACACAAGTCGGCCCATCACCGAGCAGTGCACGGTGCTCCGATTGCTCTTCTTCGAAAACGATGTCTCAACAGAGATTCGAGCAGAGAAATTAGGTATCCGCCAAGGGAGAGAGGGGACTGGAGAACAGCGGGGAAGAGGAGAGGTTACACAGCACGAGATAGCCATTGCGCGGGCTTAAGCTGCTGTTGGAAGTAGTAATATATATATATATATATATGGTAAAATAAAATAAAATTTAATTAATTTCTAACTTAAATATATTATAATCACTTCTTAATTAAGTATATTAAATAGTTAATTTATTTAATATTGTGATTGTTAATGGGTTGCCTTTAAGCTAAGAGAAACCTTCTATATCACAATTTTATCCAATATCACCTCAATTTTTAAGGCTTCCACATGTATTGAGCTTAATCCTACATTAGATATATCAAAAATTTAATATTGTGAATATTTTGATCCGTCAGCTATTTGTTAGATGTTTAATTTTTTAAGTTAAAAACGTAATATTGTTGATGCGTGCTAGAAAATTCGCGGCGGTAGAGTAATGAATTATCATCCTAGCGTTGCACGAGGATTCAACGCACACTCAGATGAAAGTGAAACAACCAGTGATTACACCATAAGTTTTTATGTGGAAAACTCGTAAAGGGAAAAAATCACAAGGTCTGACCAAGTTATAAAAATCCATTTTATGTTAATGATTACAGCAACCCCTTGTCTCGCAGATGGGAAAAAGTTGTTATATTTTCATATTACAGCGTCGTCTGACGGTGTCCGGTCAACTGTGGTCGGCGATGATCGACGGGGGAAGACAGTCAGGGGAGATCAATGGTG